GCAAAGCCCCCCCGGGATTGGCGAGCGAAGCGAGCAGGGGGGGGAGCCCCCTAGTTATAGATACTATCCGTGTGGGTTTTATAAGAGAGTTGAATTAAGGGCACGTGACAAGTAAAATATTATTTCAACTACAACTTGCTGATGTTTTATTTCAATTATCCTTAACAATCCGTAGTTGTCGGGGTGACAACTCATCAAAGCAAAATAGAGGGAGGGTAGTGTTATCTGATATCAACGCCAATTTCACTGTTCTGAAAATGGGAAAATAATAGGGGTAGTTCCATCATCTTTTGACTTGAACAAGAATGCTTTGAGAAAAAAAAATTGAGCAGTCATTTCATTGATATTGCTCATAATATTTTCAGTAGATCACAAAGATGAAAAAAAAAAAATCTCATATACAATATGCTATAACTTAACAACAAATGATGCGATTCTCTCCATATTCTGATACGATGAAGAGCTTATTAATATCAATTTTTTAAGCGATCATTAATTCCTCTCTGATAATAATTACTTGAGTTATCGTTGAAAATCAATTTTCGTAAAAATACGAATATTTCCGAATCTTTCTGCCGATTTCAATTCCAATTGGTCTCAATGGATGGAGCGCATGGAAGTCTATATTCACAGGAAAATTTATGAGATTCTATTGATCCTTCATGAAGAAATTTCAAAAAAACGAAAAAAATTTCAGTGAAAAATTACGGAGTCTTCTAAATCGTCATGGGAACTTCAAAACTAATCAGTGTCAATAGATAGAGCTTTTAAAAGTCTATATTCATTTCAAAAAATCATGGTGTTCCATCAATCCCTGGTGAAAAAAAGAGAGAGAGAAAAAAAAAAAGCAAAAAACACATACATACATACATCCATACATACATACATGCAGACACCATCTAAAAACCGCATATTCGGACTTTTTAGGCTACATTTAGTTACCCTAACACAAAAAATTGGGAACTTAAATATGACCGAATACAAAGCTTCCATTCGAAAGCAATATTAATCCGTAGAGGCTACTCCAGTTTTTCTTACAATTCTCATCTGAATCACGAGGAAGTATTTGTTGCAAAACATTTGTATATTTCAACTCTAATAGTTATTTTGTCATTCACTCTTTCTAAAGGAGATCGATAAGATCCTCCACCACACATATTGGAAATTGTCTTCTTTCGAGAAGAAATCCAATATACAACTGGTAATGTGTTGAGTTAAATTCGAGGGTGGTTTACCCCCTACACCCATTCTTTCTAAAAAATGCAAAAACCCGTATTTCCTACTTTTACTGGCTCATTTGATAGCCATTCATACTATTGAAATACGAGCGTTATTTTGTTTTACAAGATTTCTTTTTATTTGAACCCCTATCATTTTTTTTAAATTGACCCTGTTCAAATGCAGCAAACGTCATTTTTCATCATGTTTCTTATAGATTATCATGCATTTGGTTTCGTTCTAAAATTTTGAATGCCAATATATGAAAAAGTCATATGGTCCTGAAAACCTGTCAACTTCGGAGGTTGGTTTCACCCCCTAAAAATCTTTATCCGCAGAAAAAAAATACGTATACCTTAGATTTTTATGGGGAATAACATATTTTAAGCTCATCGAAATCGGTGAGGGATACTCGGGACCGTCAGTCAATTTTTGACTAATCCTTTTGAAATTCGACACATAATTCAATCAAACTTTTCTCTGGGCCCTTAACGTTTCTTCAAATCGTTATATTGAAATATGAATAGTTTTTCCATTGAAAAATGCTACAGGAAAAGGATTGAAAGAACAATATACCGCCAATCTGCAAATTTCAATGCGATTCTTTTCAACTTCCCGATCTGTCGGGTAGTTATAGTAATGACCCCGGAAATCGAATGTGGAATTTTCATGATTTGTCCACGTTTCTTAACGTTTAGAATCATTTTCAATGAATTTTGAAAACATGTTCGTATGTTTGTGTGTGTGGGTGTGTGTTTTTTTTGTCTGTTGGGAAAATGCATTTACGCACGACCACCAGAGGGCGGGGATAGGTGTTTTCCTCCGTCAAGTGAGTGTGGGACTCGGGCAGTGAGTGTGACTCCCACTGCCGATACCCATAAACTCCAGTCAGACATATATCCACTAACCTTTATTTCTTTCGCGGCACCACGATAAAGTATTACCTCGCGAGGGAGGTCTCAGCTGTTCGCTCTTCCACGTTTTCCATCTATCGTGCTTCTCCTCATTCCGCTAAGGTGCTGGCTGTCAACGAGAGGTTTCATTAGATTTCTCACTTATGCTGTAGCTTTGCGCTCACGCTCTTCCCTTCTGAGTTCTTTGATGACTGCGGCCGCAAAGTTATTCGTTGCATCCCAGCCTGCCTGCGATGACAGCATAGCTTCCACCATGGTGTCAGCCAAGACCTCCCTTCCAAGGTCAGATTCCCAAACACGCCGCATCTCGCTGAAGCGGGGGCATCTGAAAACTACATGCTCCACGTCTTCGTCGACTTCGGCGCAGACTGAGCACTTGGGGGAATCCTCATGTTTGAATTTATGAAGATGCGCCCGGAAGCACCCATGTCCCCAAAACATTTGCGTCAGGTAATAATTAACCTCACCATGTGTGCGGTTTAACCAAGCATTCACCTGTGGAATCAGCCGATGAGTCCATCTTCCCTTCGACGAGTTGTTCCACTTCTCCTGCCATTGCCGTAGAATTTTTCGTCTCTCTTCTGCGTCAACATTTCTATAGAGAGCATCCCGGCTATAACGCACACTGTGTCTTCGGACACCGTACGATAAGCGCTCGCGACTCGCAGGGCCCTCAGTCGATAGACTGGTGCAATTCTCCGCCATGATTCCTGCAACTTTAATGCATCCACCTAGATGGAAATGCCATTGGTGAGCACCGATGTGACCACCGACGACAGCAATGCTCGTCTTGTCTGTTTTGGTCCTCCTATGTTGGGCATGAGGCGCGATAAACTGGATTTGACTCCAGAAGCCTTAACTTCTACAGGCTCAGCTTGCCGCTTGAAATTAAGGTGGGCATCGATCATCACTCCCACGTATCGGATGTATGGCTGGGAGGTGATTTCACAGGACCCAACTTACAGCGTGATTTCCTCAACTTTCTTCCTGCTAGTGATCAGCACGGTTTCGGTCTTATATTCAGCTAGGCTCAGTCCCACAGTGTTCATCCAGCGACAGATCGTCTCGAAGGTCATGTCGAAACTGAGGCTGATCTCCTCCAGGTATTTGCCCACGATGACTAAGGCTACGATATCCGCAAATGGCATGAGTTTAGTTTCAGTTCCGTGGCAGTTCCAGCTTCAGTAGACCGTCATACATGATGTTCCACAACAAGGGACCCAATACCGAGCCTTGAGGTACACCTCTGGTGACTCTGTACTCCTCAGGACCATCCTCCGTGTCGTAATTCAGGATTCTTCCGGTGAAATAGCTGCCAATCATTTTCCGCAAGTATTCCGGTACATTAAACTTGCTGAGAGCTTCCATTATACAGTCCCATCTGGCCGAGTTGAAAATATTCGTAATGCCTCGTGTCTCCACTAGGCAATACTTCTTGGCGCCATTCAGTCATCTTTTGCCTGAAATCGCGTTCTTGGCAGTCTCGACGACCAGGCTGATCGCATCCAGAGTGGACCGGCCTTTTCGGAAGCCATATTGGTTGTATGCCAACAGGGGTTCGATGCCGCTTCTATTCGTTGATAGACAATACGCTCGAGGATTTTGTCCGCGGTATCGAACATGCAGAGCGGACGGTACGATGACGGGTCGTCCGGTGTTTTTTTCTCCTTTGGGAGTAGTACTAATCTCTGCTGCTTCCACATGGCAGGGAAGGTGCCCTCCCTTTGGCACTCGTTATACACATCCAAGAACATCACTGGTCTCGTGTGGATAGCTGCCTTCAGGGCGATGTTGGGGATTCCATCGAGACCAGGGGCGTTGGTGTTACCCAAGCTATTGCAGGCTTCCATCAACTCCTCTTTGGTGATTAGTGGCAACATTATCTCTTCTCCCTCTCTGACAGGACGATGAAGTTCCGGTTGTTGCGAAAACAAGACTGTGACGATTTCCTTCATCAACACCGGACACGTAGGCGACAGCATTGGTTGACTCTTGAGTTTCGTCATCACCACTTTATAAGGTCTACCGCATGGATCACCTTCTACCTCATCAAGAAGCACACTCCAAGATTGCTTTTTACTGCACTTCATAGCTTTGATGAGTTTCCGGCGTGCCTTCTTGTACCTCATCCGCAGCTCCTCGGAGATCGGTTTTTTACAGCCACGTTGAGAAGCTCTTCTAGCAGCATTACACTCCTTGCGCAGGGTAGCGATGGTGTTATTGCACCAGTAGACCGGTGGATACCGGTTTGTGGTCCGCTTCTTGGTCATGGTGGCATCGCATGCTTCTGTTAGTCATTTAATGACGTTAATCAGTTACTCTCCATAAACAGTTGCTCTTTGCAAGGTTGCTGCTCACGAAGGTGAGGTCTACAATTAAGCTTCATTCTCCCCTCACGGAAGTCGGATCATTGCCGCGGTTCAGCAGGACTACGTCCAACGATGACATGGCTTCCAGTACAGCTTGCCCCTTGACGTTCATCTCTTTACTTCCCCAGTCGACTGCCCAGGCATTGAAGTCCTCGGCTATTGCCACAGGGAAGTGCTGCTTCGTATCCTCTCAGTCGATCTAAGAAGTCCTTGAATTCTTCAGTGAAAAGGCTCGGCGGGGCGTAGCAGCTGTAGAAGTGAGTTCCATCAACCTTCGCCGTCACGAAGTCATTTTGTGTACTATTATTTGTGGTTTGAAATGGCCGTTTGCCACAAGCCCAGATTACCGCCTTCGTGCTCGCATCAGTGACCCAGGGTTGAGCATCCAGGTGACGATACGGCTCTGAGATAATAACAAGATCAGACTTCAACTCACGCGCCGTCTGCATAAGCAGGTCATGCACGACCTCACAATGGTTGAGATTGAGTTGGAGTAATTTCATCTTCGATCATTGAGGACCCTCTGTAGTGCCTCCTTATTAACTAGGTATCTACTGCTACCAGCAATGTGGGCACAATTCTCCGTGTTACCTTTCTCACTGCACAAGGCGCATTGGGGCTGCTCCGTGCAATCTAGAGCCTTGGGGCTGGACGCTGAGCATTTGACGCAGAGTTTGGACTGATCGACTGTACTCGTGCACTTCTTGGCGAGGTGCCCGTAGTGCCAGCACTTGAAGCACTTAACTGGTCTCTCCACTCTGCTCACTCGGCAATAAATCCAGCCTATCCGGATTTTGCCAGTGTCCCCCAAGATATTCTTCGCTTCGAGTACACGCAGTGTCACCAATGCCGTCTGTGCCCCTCCGTAGGCCTTTCGCAAGGATTTTATGGCATCCTGCGTCATCTGCACCTCGTTGCCCGCTGTCTTGCATAGGGCTTCCAAAATTTCCTCCTTCCTTGTCATATCATCGAGATCTTTGATCTCGATATTCTCCTGAGGGCCCTTGCTAAGAACCTCAGCGTCTTCCCCGAGAAGACCAGCTATGGTTGTTTGCAATACCTGCGCTTTGCTAGAACTGTCTTTGGACAAGACGATGAGCATGTCCTCTGTGGCTGTTCTGCATATCTTATCAACGCACCCCAGCGCCTGATCTGGAGGAACATCCTTCTTCACCTTCGTTAGAATCTGGGCATACTTCATCTTATCTGTTGAGCGAATGATCAATGCATCGGACCTAGATGCTGATTTTCCCATTCTCCTACTACTCCGGGGAGTATTTGGTAACGTCTTTGGAGTTTTGTTAGCTTTCTTCGTATTCTTCACGGTCTCAAAACCGCAGTTGTCGGCCGGATAGTCAGATATCTTGTCCGGTAGGGCTGTCTGTGGCCCTTTCGGTTTTTGGGCTTCTTACCATCATGACCAAGCGAGTCACGCTTCCGCCGTCTTGTTTGACGGATGTCCCGAGAATCCACTGCGGATGATGCGTCCTTAGTTTCTAGTTCAGAGTCCTTCGTTGTAGTCTCGGATAGTGTCCGTTGACGTACAGACAATAAGCCCTGTCTGTTCATTTCTGCTTGAGGAGCGGGCTGTTTCGCTCCCACTCGAGATTCTTCCAAAGCTCTCAATCTTCTGAAGGCACTATTGATGTTAGTCACCTGCGATTTCATCTCCTTGTGAACGTTCACTCTAGGTTGAACGAACTCATGAAGGTCGTTGATAAGCCTTGCAAGCCTATCCCACAGCTGACTTCTCTCATCTGCTGCCCCTGCTTCTGCTTCTTGTAATTTGTTTCTTTGATTCTTCATGTTTATCCCACGAGTACCTAGGGAAATGACAGACCACCTCAGCAGAGCCCCGGTTGCTGAGACTAGGCCACTTAATACACCTGGGGTGGGCCCTGGTGCCCCAGGAACCACCGTTTGCGACGCCAACTATCCCTGGCGCCTTCCAGAAATCAGCACGGTGAACACCTTGACATTGGGGGGGGGGGGCTTCAACTGCTGAGGGGTGTAGGTGTGTATGTGTGTATGTATGTAAACAAAATTTTGCCCGACGATTACTATCGAACGAATGATATTATTCAATTTTTTTTTGCAATCGATGCATTTTTGTGTAACTTAGAAGTGATTAGTTCGTGAAGACGATCGTCTCAGCGGTTCTTCAGTTATTCGCAAAAAACATGTGAAAATACGCCAAAAATTACGTTATTTTTACTTATTTGATCATTTTTCCTGTGAAAATGATGCAATTTGGATTGTTCTCCACATAATCGATGAATCTTCGTATGCAGTAGAACAAACTGGATTGTTAACAAAATCCACTCAAGCGTTTTTCAGCTATTCTAGAAATGACACTTTTTGAAATTTGATTTTTTTAAAATTATCATAGCTCTGATTCGATAACTGATCACAATAATGATCTCCTTAAAACCCCCACATGGGGTTGAATGGGGGGACATGGAGCAGGGGGTGAAATGGACCGCTGGGAAAAGTGAACCCGTGTGCCCTGAATTAGAACAACTATGTGGTGAAATTAATATAGGTGGGATTGTATGCATTAGAAGGGGCGAAGAAGATTGTGTCGAAATTCCAGGCGGATTCGTCACCTGCGGAACTCCAGGGTATTTATGTATAGAAAGTGAGAGAGAGAGAGAGAGAGAGAGAGAGAGAGAGTAAAAATTTATAAACCGTTACCTTTTTGTCGCGATAAAAATCTATACGGAGAATTAGATCTACCTGCTACCTTAACTCTACTTCAGAGCTACCTTAAGTTCGAAAAACTACTTAAATTGGTTACCTATCGCGTGAATCGATTCCCTAAATTTTTAGAATAATATTCATTAAATAACTTCATTAAATAAACCAGATATTTTGCAGATTTTTTTTTTTTGGAGTTCGTTTCGTTGAGTTAAAGTTTAGTAATTTTGAGATTTTCCTACGTAAATTCGGTTAAGGATCATGATATCACCGTGGAATATTTGGCCAAGATAAGGTGCTACCCAGTGTTTCCTGCAGCCCTTTTTGGTTTGTCGATAGAGTGAGTACATAGGTCGAGTTGAAATGCTTGCGCTCCCTTGAGCGAGAGTGTTAGGACTTTCAGTTGGAAGGCCGTGGAGACGATTGCCCAGTCGTCGAAACGGATCGCCATTGGGCTTTTAGTTTAGTTAAGTTTGCGTTTGAGTTTTCGTTGGTAAAGTCCTAATTCCTCTCCGGAGAGTGCCCTCTGTAGATAAGCTACCATATTCCGGTCGTAGATGGAGTGAAAACTCGCTCAGCCATCTCAATTTCGCGTTGAGTTCAAGTCATTACAGTTTTGTTCAGTTGAAATAATTAGAATCAATTATATGAAAATTCAAATTTAAACCTTTGAATATTTCGCGCTGAATTACCCCGGGAATCGATAGTTCGCGTCTCCGGCACTCGAGTCAGCACCGTACGGGGCTAGTCTCCCCCAGACTCCCCTCCACTATGCAATAGGCCCGAGCGGACACACGCGAGAGTCGCCATTAGAGAGAGATCCGCCCGGACGACCAAGAGTGAGGTACAAGTCCATTTAGCTCCCTGAACAAGTTCTCTTTTGAGGTAATTATCGAAGCCCCGTGACCAAAATACCGTCGAATTCAATGCTCCAGATCACGGTGAGTACTCGTGTACTTATTTAGAAGCGATTAAAAGTGAAATAGTGCGGTTTTCCGGTAAAGCAGTTGGACCACGCGGAATGGCGTCGCTACCTCTCGGAATGACGCCAACACCGATACTCATGGTTTGAAGGGTAGAAAACTCTTCAAACAAACCCAAATGCTCCCTGGAAACTACCTAAAATTATTTAAATGATAATTACGCTACCTGAATAAATTCAAATCGTAATAATGCTACCTACCGTAACTTTTGGGCTAAATTTCATGCTTTATGCGTCTCGCTACGGCGATTGATGCAACTCGCTAACTGCTTCATTGCTACCTTTTTGCTTGCTACTTTTCCTCGCTCTCTTTATGTAATTATTCTACGCTACCTATTTCTTTATATTTCTCCGACTCACAAGAGTTCTGGAGGAAAAATGATGCCACCTGAATTGTTCTGAAGCTACCTTTTTCGCGTTTTAATGCTCTCTAGCGTTCGTTGAGTTTTGCATTCCGGTTGGGCATGGGGACGCTATCTTTTTAGTTATCTTTACTTTTATGGTTGGAATCCAAAACAATAAAATTATCTAAGCTCTCTTGCGTTAATAAATACCCTACCTATTATCGTAGAAATCATTTGAGGCGGTAAGCTACCTGTTTTCATCCAGAAAACCTCCATTTCCGGGTTAGAAATGCTCCCTTCCGGTAAATCAGCCACGTGGCTGATTCAAGCTCCCTAGCTCATTTTGCTACCTTTTCGGTGGATGAGATTCCCGATTTTAATGCGCTTCAAATGGCGTAGAGTTAGGGAAACCATTACAAAGGCGCTCCAGAATTCGGAATTCGATTAATTACAGTCGACAATAAGAAAAATTAGTACCTTTTCGTAAGCTCTCTCTTTATCCCGCGTAGCTACCTCATCCGTTCTCTCTCGCACGTACGCTACCTTCCTATAGTCTCTCTCTCTCGGATTCGTGTTCCCCTCGTGGACAATACTTTTGCTTCTTTCGATCAACTTTGGATTGGGATCGCTTTCTTTTTCATACTTAAAATTATTATTCGCATCTTTCGAGTCTTTTGGAGTTTAATGGATCATTTCAGAGTATTTAAAATTATTTTGAGTCACATTGATGTAATTTTGTATTTGTACGAATTTACAATTTTGTATTAATATCGGCAATAGCGAAACACGTCAGTACAATTATGTTTATTATTCAATATCGACCTTACCTATCCCGTTTAGAATTTAAGACATTGGTTTATTGGTTTCTCGATCGATGATTGGCTTTGTTAATTGATGTTCTCGTCCACGAATCCACCCCTCTCTCCACGATCCGCACACTGAGCAGCCGAGGAAATCCCGTACCCTCGTAATCCACATTTCCGCGTATGGTTTGTCATATGTTTCTTGTCGTTATTGGATTTTTGGGGACAATCAGTATTTAGTTTTAAGAAAATACGGTTCCGTTTACGGTTTGTCGATTCCGCGTTGCTAAAAATCGGCTGGCGCCCTAAATACACGAAGTAAGGATTGGATGAGCTGCTGATTGTTCCCGAAGTCCAGTTTTAGCGTTATGGTTTTTGGCGTTTCAGACTTGTCGGATTACGAGAACGAAGGTAATCAGTTGGCCGTGTTTGGATAATCAAGAATTTTGGTTTAGGGTTTATTGAGTATTTGTTGAGGCCAAAGAAAAATCATTACAAGAGTCAATAGAAAAGATCAATATGACTGAGACATAATCAGATGAAAAGAAGTGTACTGTGATAGAATTTCCAGTATTCTGGGTCAGGAGTACATTTACTCCCTTGGTTCACAACCCTCATTGAGTCACGCGTATCTACTCAACCACCAGAACTAATTGAATTAGATGAGAACAATTGACTTGACCATTCTTGAATTATTGGAATGGATCATGAAAATTTCGTGGTACAGATTTTTGTGCTACGATTGCACTTGGATAAAACATGAGAATCAAATTTTCTCTATCACCATCGATGCGCCTCAATGAGACTTGGACCTGATTAAATTTTGAGTTGAATCGTTTCGGCGGTTTGTTAGTTATATAATTGAAACTAAAAATAAAAATTTATCGAATTTTTTTGTCAGTCGATTATCGTGCGAATAATGTTTTTTTCCGGAATCTGGGTAAATTATCCCATTTAGAGTAAGAAAACAATGAGTGATGACCCAAATTTTCAATTGTCAATAACAATTATTAAGGGGGGGACTCTGGTAAAACTTTGAAGTCTGCGATTAGTGACGGGATCCACTGAACAACTTTTGATGGGGATGATGAAAAAGTTGGAAAAATGATGGACCCAACCCATTTTGCCCCGTATTTTAATGTAAATAATAATTTCGAGTATTTTTACATCAAAAATGCCCTTGCACCACAGTTTTCATACGATCCAGGTTTTCTTTTCTTTAGAATGTTCGTCTGACTTCAAAGAATAAAATCACTTATGCTTTTTGCCTTAAGTGGAATAGATCATGAAATAATTAATTTTTTCAATTTACTGATTTCACGAGATTCTGCATGACGTCAAACATATTGCGTATATTTTTTTATTGAACAATCGTTCATTGCGTTATTTTCATGTACCATTATAATCTCCAACAATTCCCATAAACAAT